GCACACATAGTAGTAGCGGTGAGCCATTGACACGCGCTACTACTATGAGACTAGTAGTAGCGTTGTTTTTTGCAGAACGCTACTACTACGGGCAGCCCCGGTGGGTGAGGATGAGACCACTTAGCAGCAGCGCTGGTACATGCAACGTGCTACTACTAGGTAGTAGCGCTGCCTCTCAACCTCGCACTACTGTTAAGATTCTATCTATAAGCATTCTTCTAGTAGTATCGTGTTGATATAGGCATTGTTGTCATTGGTAGTTAAAGTGACAGCTTATCTCTGAGTGTGGTGTGTGTTATTTCTTTCACCTAATTGCGTATGACTTTGGGTTCCTCGAAGCCCATCGTAATCATATGAATCGAAGGATAATAGTGGCCTTGTCTTTTGTGTAGGATTTTCTTTTATCAGAAAAAGAAAAAGAGAGCTTGCCTATCCAATTTCTATTACCAGAAACCACCAGGTCTTCTTACAAAGAGTCCAAACTAAAAGAAATAAAAGGACGAGTGTTCATATACATGCGCATATACTCATCTCTATACCGAAAAAGGCTTTCGCCCTATTTTATATATAAATCAAAAATCAACACCATCCGAAACAAACGTACATCCACACCACACACACCCAAGGCGGGATACAAAAGCGCTGAGCACAGCAACACCACCGCTAGCACACTACCACAAAGAGATGAAGCCGCATACAGCGAACCGTGGACTCCAAGGCGGCGCCTTCAGGAAGGATACGACACCGGAGCGCTGCCACCGCCCGATCCAAGGATCAGAGTTTCCCCCGGAGCCGCACGACGGGCGGTGAGAGCCGCGACGAAGCCTTCAACAAGGGAACAAGCTTCGCCGTCGCCGGTCCGTCCGAGATAGAGCAGGTTTTCACCCCAGCCAACACTCACCGCCACTGAACGCTACACCCCGGCAACCATGCCGCCCACACGGCCATGGTCACCGGGCAGCGCCAAGACACGGGCTCTGCCCAAGAGTAATGTGCACCGCCACCAGGGCCTCCGTCCTGGCATCCAAGACCTTGACACCACCACACCCGAGACCCGCCGCTACCCCAACCAAAGGGACGAGCAGAAAAGGAGCCGCCTTTGCACCCCTGGCCCACCCCAGCGTTGAGACGCAATAGGTCAGCCAGCACTGGCATCCATCAACCCATCCTGCAGCCCGGAGCGCGAGACGAGATCGGCCATGCAGCGCCGTGGGGCAGGGACGAAGACAATCCTACTGCACCGTGCACGAGACGAGCTTGGTCCTGCGGCACTGTGCGCGAGACGAGCTCGATCCTGCTGCACCGGGCGCGAGACGAGCGATGTACAACAGCTAGGAAAGGGCCAGCCCTTCGAAGGGAGTAGCGACCGAGCGCCGAGGTGATGGAGTGAAGGCCGAAACGGTCCGATCACAGACAAGCCGCTGCCGCAAGCAGATCCGCCAAGCAACCATGAAGCCGCCACGACACCGGGAGTCCACCACCGCCGGACCTCCACATGTCGCCGCCCACGGCTGGAGCAACGGCCACGCCCGGCCGCTACCCTACCCGCGTCGCCCAGCGAGCTCATAGCGCCGGAGCCGCCGGGCACGCACCACCGCCGCCATGCGCCGCCGGCCGACCCCCACCACCAGATCTGGCTGGATCAGCAGGGGGCCGACCGCGCGCCACCTCCCGAAACGGGAGCGCCGCAGCCGCCCCGC